CCCTTCTCTTCCCAGGTTATGATAGGGTTTGAGCATAGGCAGCGGGATTTGAAAAAACCCACCAAACCCAACCAAACCAAAGTCTTTCAACTGCCGTTATCTGTGATGAATCAAAATGTGATGTCCTAAAAATAGAGATAACGAAACTTCTTCGTTAACGGCTCCTAACTTAGCGGTTGGTCTGTTGTCTGTTTGTCTTGCTGGCTGAGCTCTGCTGGCTCTCGTTTGGGGCTTTCTCCTTTGCTTCTCTCTGGTTCTTTCTGGTTTTGCCCCCATCGAGGGGGCGAGGGGCGGCGTTGGGACGGGAGGAGCGGTCCCCACCCCACAGCGAGATGCTGTGCTACAGCAGAGAGACGTTTTTTTGCTAAAAGCAGGAATAAACGCCTCCAGGCTCATACCACAACAAATGACTCCAGTCTCCAGAGGTGGCAGATGACTTTTCCTGGATAAAACAAATATTTCCATTGATTTTTTTTTTTTTCCTTTTTTCCCTCCTGTGAACTGTTTACTAGCTTTGGTAGAGGGTCACTGAGAAAAGTGAAGTTTTGCTCCAGCTTCCCTCTCATTTCTTTAGCTGATCCCCATCCCCAGGGCTCTTTGAATTACCTGGCTACTGTTCTTGATGTTTGAGGCTAAGTTTTTTGGTTTTGTCTTTTTTTTTTTTTTTTAATCTCAGCATCTCCTGGCTTCCAAAGCATTCATCTCCAGCAGGACAAGCAGGCAGAGCGAGTGTTGGGAGGAGGATGCCCAGCGGGCCTGCGGGTTTTTCATGTCTTGCTGAGTTTTTTCATGTTGTCGCAGCTTCTTGAACATCCACCGCTCTGTGGGGAGGGGGGGAAAGGCATATTTCCGAGCCGTCTCTCAACGCTCGTGTCTATTAAAGCCATTTTTCCTTGGTCCCTGTAAATTGCCTGTGAAAAACACGTCTTGAGTAATCTCCGCATCTCGGACATTTTCTGCATGAAATATTCAAGAGCCTGATCCCGTTCGCTTTGATGGATGGTGAGTTATTACCAGCGCCGGGCTTGGACTTCTCCGAGGCGCGTGGGGATGGGAACAATTAGAACCCAATTAGGCACCTTGCAGCTGTTGTGGAGTTTTTTTTCTGCTTAAAAAATTGCAATGCACCAACAAGTGGGGGGGGGGAAAAAAAACCAACACCACCAACCAAACCTAAAAAAAAAAAATATCAAAAATCTTCTGCTGTGTAGGTAACTTTTAATGTCAGAGCGAGGGTGTCTCGCTGATGCTGGCAAGCTGCTTCTGAGTTCCTGCGCGATAGCGAGGGGAGGAGATGAGTGAGCAGGAGGTGATGGGGTGGTCCCCGCAGCGATGCACAAAGCCCCCTGAACTGGGGGTGTATGCACGGGGGGGTATAGGTACGGGTGCTCTGCGGGGACCCAGGTCCCTGGGAGGTGTCTGGCGTCGGACAGGAGAAATATTAAAGCCCCCAGATCGCTGGGGCTGCCTCTCCTTGGCATCGTCTTGGTCTCTTCGCCCAGAAATCAAATGCATTTTCTAGCTGCATCAAAGAGAAACAGCTTGGAACCCCCTAACTTTGAAATCCAGCACTCGGAGCGGGGTTGGGTTGTGATGTACATGTGTGTATATAGAACCAATTCTTGTTAATCCCGTTTTCATTCCTTTTTTTTTTTTTGCTCTCTCCCTTGGAGGCCTTTCAGGAAAATAACGTGCTGGCCAAGGCTGTGCTTTGCAGCTCCCCACGCCATCGTCCTCCTTCCCCATCCCTGACCCAGCTGCCAGCCCAGCTCTTCCCAGCCCAGGTCTGGCCTTTGTAGGCAGAGACTAGCCAGACCCACCTGCTGCCTCGAGCTGCCAGCCAGCAATTTGGCACCAATTCCTCCTGTTTCTGCTAAGATGGACTTGGCTCCCTCCCTTTTTTTTTTTTTTTTTTTGCCCAGGCACTTAAAAGCAGAAATCTGAGAAGCTACGGGCCAGCTCCAGTAAGGTTTATTCCTGGCAGTTAAAGTCTCATCCAGCGACTGCCAACTCATTGTATACA